ACATGGGACTTTAAAGGCATCGCGCAAACGTTCTTTACGCGCTGCGGTAACTTTGATCTTGGTTCATTTGCATAGCGCTGCGTGCGCGTAGCTTTGCCGAGTGATCTCCTTCTCAATAATACCTCCATGATATACAGTAATCACAGATGAATATTGTTCTGTTTGGGTTTTTTTTACAGTACACTAGTGGTGCAGCTACAAGTTTCATATCAAGATCGTCAGCTGTAAAGAAACTTCAGTTAACTTTGGTGGATTTCAGGTACAGTGCAGTACAGTATTCCAATTTACTAATCTCGGGTGCAAAACAGATCTATTCAATTTATCGTGGATATAGTTCCAATGATTTATACACATATCAGGGATGTTGATCGGTTGAGCTGGCTTGACCCTAACCTTTAACTTCAGTCTCAATGCACGTTTACTTTAAAATTTACAATTAAATGCTCTGGTAACTAATGTCATAGAGCAATTTCTAGCTCTGTGTTACGTTTTAATTATTTTCATTGTTATAAATTAATGAATCCTACGGTATTTATTTTTCACTTTTCTGTCTTGACAAAGCAGTATGATTTTTAGCTATTTCTAGAGATGTATGTAAACACCTGTTGGCCTTTTCTTCACTGTATTTTTGAACTAAATATTTTAATTAATAAATGATAATTAAAAAGAACGTACTGTAGATAATAAATTGTTAACATTTTCTGTGGGTATATATCCCTCATGTGGTTTTTTACAGGCGGTTATGTATATTGAAAGGAATTTATCCGGTACAACCAAAGAATGTCAAGAAGGCAAACAAAGGGAGCAAAACACCGAAAACATTTTTCCGTTACAAGGACATCCAGTTTCTTGCACATGAGCCAATCCTAAAAAAGTTCAGAGAACACAAGGTAAATGTTGTGAGGCGATAAGCTTTTGTAAGTCTGGCTATTTATGGAAAAATATGTTTCTGATTGTACATCATTTTAAAATAACTTTGTTGTGTTGGTATTCATGCATATTAATAATGCAGTGTTTGTTATTTGTGTAATCAAAGAAAAATAAAAATTGTCAATCATTTTTTTTATTATTCTGAAATTCAAATTATCTTTAAAAGGCTTTTTTGAAGAAGTTAAAGAAAGCTGTTGCTAAACGAGAAAACAAAGCAGCGGAGAGATTGACAGAAAACAAGCCGACATACAGACTGGATCACATTGTAAAAGAAAGGTATATTTTATTTACTTATTTATTTTTATATTTTTTATCCAACATCGAGTGACTCACAAATTTCACAATGGTAGTGAGTTTTGTAAACCAAGTTGAATAGAGCTCTTCCAGGTTATCAAATTCAAAAACTTTGATAAAAAAACTTTTGTATGCCCACATATAGTCATGATCTGCCTATATATGGTCATGATATGATGTCGTCATGACCATATTTAGGTATGGCACCTGTTTTGTCAAATAAAATTTGATAGCCTGGAACGTCTTTACTTGTGAGGAAATTCTTAATACAGATTTGACCAAGGACCTTAGTATAAGAAGGCAATCATTAAATTCTGAGCCAACACTGCACTCAAATGAGCTGTCTACATGATATATAAGCTAACACTTTGTTGCCATATATACAGTAACAATATTTACATGGAACAAAGAGCTAATAAATTTGATTTGGTTTTCAGATATCCCACATTTGCAGATGCCATCAAAGACCTTCATGATCCGTTGACGCTTTGCTCCTTGTTTACTACATTGAGAGTATCTGCCAAGATTTCTTTCACAGAAGGTATCCGTTTGTCTCGACGCCTATTGTCAGAGTTCATGAACTTTGTTATTGCATCCAGGTCATTACGAAAGTTAAGTAATCCTTGGTCTTTGTAAATTAAAATTCTATTATTAGAAACTGCTATCTATATTCGCTGTTAATACAAATCTTAAATGTATATTGATTGTATCTTCTTGACATAATAGTACATACAAAATAGGCCTGCATGGACTAAAAAGTTGAATAATAATATGGTGGAAAAACATTGAGTAGCGATGATGTGCAACCAAAGTATGAACTCAACAGATGTTTATTTTGCAGATTATCATTCTCGTTTTAGGTGTTTTTATCCATAAAAGGAATCTACTACCAGGTTGAAATCCAAGGACAGCCAATCACTTGGATCGTGCCATATCAGTTTAATTACAAGGTAGACAGTATACCATATTTGTGTATATACTTTATTTCTAGTCGCAAAACATTTTACCTTGAATTTCTGAGAGGCTATGAAATGTCAGCATAAGCTGCTATGAAAAGACATCTTCCATCCCATTAGCTGACACATAAATGATACAGATGTTTTGTGCGGGCTCTTTAAACTCTGTTCAGTCTTTTAAAAAAAACTGTTGTATGCCCATATATAGTCATGATGTGACTATATATGGTCATGCTATGATGTCATCATGACCATATTTAGGCATGTGTTTTTGTATCAAGACTGTCAATAAAGGTCGGGTCAAAACTATTGGTTTGTTAAAACAGAAGATTACTTCCAATCTGGATAGGCTTTAAATTGTATGGTCAATTTAATGATTATCATAGTAACAGAGTAGTAATTCATTTGATCATTTTAAATGTTTAATTTGCCATCCTATAGTATTATTAGCTGTTCTATTAATTGAAATTTTGTAGTAGTACGGAATGGATATTCTTGGTAAATTGATCAGTTTTTATTGAATTTTGTTTGTTGTTCACAGCAACCGGTTGATGTGGACTTGAAGATAATGTCCACATTTGTGGAATTCTATACAACACTTCTGGGTTTTGTCAACTTTAAGCTCTACCATTCACTGAATCTTCATTATCCTCCTAAGGTTAGTATCTGAATAGTAATTGCCTTTCATTAATAATACGGGTTGGTGGTTAAGGTGCCTGCTTACATATCCCAAGGCTGTGGGTTCAATCCTTGCATTAACTGTCAGGTTTTTGTTAGCCGAAGATTACATTTTGTAGTATTATTTGAGCAAAACACAGTTACGCTTTTTGATGTTAAGGCATTCAAATG